TAAATAAATATTAATAAAAATATAACATTCACATATATCAAACTCTTATAATGAATGACACATAATTCCCAATAGTTATTCAAGTAATATTATTTAAATATCAAATATTCAATATTAAATAAGTAAAGAAATAACAAATAACTAGAAATAAAAGGGAAGGTTACATAAAAATGTAGTTAATGTAGGCCAATATATAGGCTATTCCTTTATTTTATGGAATATTCTTTGATTTTAGAGTTGCACATATCTTTTCAAAATGTATACATTTGTTCTTAATTTAATGTTATCCTCTCCATAATGTACTTTAGAAACTAAATCTAAACCACTAAACTTAAAACTGGGGATTCTTGCTTTCTCAAAAAAATTATTGCATAAAAAGCTGTAATTCTCAGCATTCTAAATAAGTAGGCTATATATATCATCTTTATAAAGTAGCATAGGTCCTATACCCAAAACCATATTTTGTATCTTTATATATTTAGTTTCTTTAAAAAAATCTTCCCTGAATTAGGCTACTTCTGTTCAATTTCTTTTTTTTTATTAGAAGTATAAAATGTATGAGTGTAATGAGCTAGAAGTTCACTGCAACTTATCCAACATCATAAAGAGAAATTATTATAATTAGAAGATATTTCTAGTGTTATAAAGTATCGCATATTAATTTTCCAAGCAAAATGTATATTTTAGTCAGAATTATTGCGCTCCTATTTGGCGCGCATGCGCGCAGCAGCGCTCGTTCAATATGAAGATTAGCAGCAAAATGGATACATTTGCACTACTTTCTAACATTTACAGATGGAGAATATAACTGTAAAATGTCATTTTTGCACTGAGGAAAAAAAAAACATGTCACAAACGCATAAAACAGCACAAAATATACGCTGTTTGGTGGTGGATCGATTTGATCCACGATCGACCTCTAGGGCTGCTTCAGAAACGCGTGCACACGCAATTATCTAGACTAGATAAACCTGGATCAAATTAGTGAGATTGCGTGAACTTCAATTACCTTTTATGGAACCACTTTAGCCCCAACTTATTTGTTAGGCTCATTCAAGTCCGGTTTTGGAGTTTAATCCCCGCTTTTCTAAGCTTCATTTATGGAACAGCCCCCAGATCATGTTGGAGTTGGAGCTTATCGAGGTGGAAAAGGTAAATTTTTAGTTTTTTTTAACAGTTTCGCTGTACTAAGAATTTAAAAATGGCGGGCGGTGCAGAAGAACACGCCGGAAATGCATAGGAGGAAACGCGATGCTACAAGCCGACCAATCACAGATCTTGCGGTCCGCGTCGTCGCGACGTGTAGTTACATTTTTGAGGAGGTGCGCGTCAGGTTACGGCGAAGGGTACGGCGTATGGTACGCGTCTGTGCGTATGCTACGCCGTACCTACTGCGCGCACCCGACGCAGAAGTATAAATTGGCCTTAAGAGACATCTTTCAAAAACATTTAACTTTTTAAGACTTTAACAGTAGCCTAGTCTATTGTAAATTGTTCAAAAATGAGAACAATGAGTGAAATCACCTTTCTATTTCTAGAGATGGATAAACAGAGAGGCATTGGGAGAGAAGAGATGGTAAGTTTGAGATCTGGTGACATAACATGAGACACTCCACTGACAGTTAAATTGGTTTGAGAAGACAACTATAGTGAATATGTGTAAGTGCGTCCAGTAATCCAATGAATCATGAACACATGACAATTGCCTGGACATGATGCCTTTCTGCAAAACTAAGCTGTCTTTAAAACATTCTATAACTGTAATAATCATGAGAGATGACAGAGATGTAAAGTTTCAATAGATGGCACAAGTAAAAGTTATATTTATTTTTTGATTAAATTGGAATTGACCCTAATTCTGTCATCATTTACTCACCCTCATGCCATTGAAAACCTGTATGACTTTCTTCGTGGAACACAAAAGATGATATTTAGAACTATTTTACTGGTTGTTATTTCCAAGCCATTACAATGAATGGGACTGGAAATCATCATAAAAGAGGTCCATATGACTTGTGCACTTTATTCCAAGGCTTCTGAAATGATATGATAGCTTTGTGTGAGGATTAAGTTAGAATTATTCACTGATAATCTTGACATCTGCCCTTGCTCTCCTTGGCACAGAGCGTTCTTGAGAATTCATTAAAATAGGATTGAGTCAGATTGATTGTTCTTTTCAAAAAAAAAAAATCATTTGTCAATTCGGCTCACAAATTCATGATTTATTCATGATTGAGATGTTGTTACATCTCTCATAAATTGGCAAGGACAGCAAGGGCCCTTTTAAGTGAAAAGTGTTCAAATTACTATGAAATTGATGCAGAAGACTAATAATATATACTGTAGGAGTCGTGTGGAGTGTGGACCACTTTTTTGATGCAATTTGTTTTTTTTACGGTGCATGAAAGCTCCAATCTCCATTGCATGGAAAAAAGATACAGTCTTCAAACTATCTTCTTGTGTTCAACAGAAAAAAAGAAAGTCATACTGGTTCGGAACGACATGAGGGAGAGTAAATGTCAAATGATGACAGAATTTACATGCTGGTGAATGATCTCTATAATTCTCGAAATTCAAAGAGCTTCAACCAAAGTATATGTAAATCTAGCCCAAAAAGTGAAAGTTGCATCTAAAGTGCCAGGTCTTTCTGACTAGGTGTAATAATCTAAACAGTATTTTTAATGCTTAACATCTGCTCCTGAGCTACACGGCTTTTCCATGAAGTCAATGCACTAGAAGCTGCTGTCAGGGGAAGAGTGGTGGCCCATACAGCCATTTTCCACTGGGGTTTTCCTCTTGACCCAGGGCCAAGTGTAAAAAAGGTAGATTCCCGACTGTGCTGAACTTTTCTTCATATCCCCTGTATCTGTTGGGCTGTGTTATGTCCTATGCTTCAGATACTGTAGCTGTGACACACTCACCCACCTGCGTACCAATCACTGCTACACAAGTTACATTAGTTATGTTTATAAATAATGGGTGATATGGCCAACAGCCATATCACCCTGTAGCTCAAGACTGGTTGCCCACTGAAGTTAAGCAGGGCTGAGCCTGGTTAGTACCTGGATGGGAGACCTCCCGAGAAAACCTGGTTGCTGCTAAAAGAGGTGTTAGTGAGGCCAGCAGGGGGTGCTCACCTTGTGGTCTGTGTGGGTCCTCCTAACGCCCCAGTATAGTGACGGGGACACTATACTGTCAAAGAGCACCGTCCTTCGGATGAGACGTTAAACCGAGGTCCTGACTCTCTGTGGTCATTACAAATCCCAGGCATCCTGGCCAAATTTGCCCCATGGCCTCTGTCCATCATGGCCTCCTAATCATCCCTATATACTCATTGGCTTCATCACTGTCTCCTCTCCACCAGTAAGCTGGTGTGTGGTGGGCGTTCTGGCGCAATATGGCTGCACATTGGTGGTGGTTGAGGAGATTCCCCTTTCCATATAAAGCGCTTTGAGTACCCAGAAAAGCACTATATAAATGTAACAAATTATTATTATTATTATTAAAAACCTTGGCAACCAAAACGGAATACAGCTCAGTCTAAGATATGCATTTTGCCTCAAGACAGGTTTATTTGGTGCTTGGTCTTAATTAAGGAAGTGAAGTCATAGGCTTTGAGACTGAGCAAAAACTAAAGTCTTAAAGTTCATTCAAACATTTCCTGACATTCAAAATGTGACCATCAAAAACAATATATATAGCAACTGCAAAAGAAACCATAAATCTGAGAACCGAGCGTGTTCGGGTCCAAAACTTAGACGAGTGCCTCGGCAACGTGTCAGGTCTGATATTAGCAGACTCGAGTCTCAGGTAACTTAAAATAAATGTGTTTCTACCAAGTGGACCAGAGTATACCCAAATTCTTTTAAAATATGCCAACTTCCATTATTCGTTTGGGCACTGAACAATAGTTTTTTATTTAAAACAAATACACATCAATAATTGCATGACAATGTTATCCCCCTTCTTCTGTCAATCCATGCTTCTATTTGTAAATGACCCAACCCTTCAGCATACTGGTGCTTGCTATAGTGGCACACACTTCACATAAACTGCGCTCTGCAATACCCGAGTCATTCGAGAATGAGCGCGGGATTTGCTTTTTACTATTAAAGGGATAGTTCACACCCCCCCCCCAAAAAAAAAAAAAGTCTGTCTTTAATTACTCACCCTCATTTTGTTCCAAACCCATAAGACTTCCGTTTATCTTCGGACCACATGAATATCTTTTTAATGAAATCTGAGAGCTTTCACTTGACGCTTCAAAAAGTTCATAAAGAGATTGTGAAACTAATCCATATAAATTGAGAGGTTTAGTCGAAATTTTCTGAGGAGACATGATCACTTTATATGATGAACAGATTTAATTTAGGCTTTTATCCAGATTTAAACATTGATGTTGTAAATTCAATCTGTTCAGTGCATAAAGTGAACGTGTCTCTTCAGAAAATTTGGACTAAACCACTATGGATTAGTTGTACGATCTTTTTATGAACTTTTTGTAGCGTCAAAGTGGTAGTCCCGGATCAGGCTGGGTTAAAATAAAATTGTGGTCGGGTCAGACTCAGGTCTAATTTTATCAGGTCTGTCTCTGGTCAACTTTTTATTTATTTTTAAATTAATTTATGGACATCAGGTTCAGGTAAGAAGTGATTCAGGCCAAATTGAGTCAGGTACAGATTTTAGGACCCGAGAAAACTCTACTCTCAATGTAATGTAATTGTATCATCATGTATAATATAATATAATATACCATTTTGAAGGTGGAATATGTGTGATTTCATAATTAAGTGAAAATTTGAGCATTTTGAATATAACAAATTCTATATTTTAAAATACTTATTTGCATATTAAATATATATTGAAACATAACTTTAAATATAATTTAATATAATATAATATATAATAATATAATATATATTAATAGATTCTTTAATGTTTAAAATATATGTTATATTTAGCCCTTTGTTTTTGCCAAGTGGAAACATGACCCATCCTACCTGGAATGACAAGGATGAGCATTTTAGGAGGGTTTGGCCCTTTGCTGACAGCATGCAGGTCTGTTGGTCCATACTTGAGCAGCTCAGTGATTACACCTCTACAGTAGACATACTCCACAGAGGGATCCTCTCCGGGCCCCTCGGATCCGGGACTGCACATCACATCAACCGGATCAGCTCCACACAGTTCTGGGCCTAAGTATAGAAACCAATGACTAATTATATATATATATCTTACTCAGATCATCCAACTAACGTGCTGATTGAATGTACAGTAAAAAAACAAAAAAAAACAAAAAAAAACCAGCTGATTAATGTTAAATCAGCGTTTGGTGATTACGGTCACAAGCTGTTGAACACTGTCCCAGACATTCTACAATCAGTTGACTCAATTAACGTTTTTAACACGTAACGTGGCCTTTAACACTTGTCCATCATTTTAATAAATGCTGACTTGCTGGAGTATATACTTCAGCACAAGTGCTGGTGCAAAAGTCACTGACAGCAGGTATGCAGCAGTTCTGCTCTCTGATGACAGTCAACCTCTGACATCTATGACTGAATGACAGCTTGCAACACACTGAACATTGGAGTTTAGAGTCTGTTATCTAGTTTAGTCCTCTGATCAGATCATTCAGTTCAGGCTCAATATTTATAGAGAAACAGCAGAATAGGAAAGAATAAAATAGAATACGGGTAATTTACATCCAGGCATCACTTACATCCAGACATCACTTACAGCTTTCGATTATGTTAACACAAAGCTTGTCAATGTAGAATTTCTTAAATAAACTATAAATTAATTGTCTAGTATACTCACTAATAAATCTGCAGCTTATAATGCTCATTCATTAAATTTACCGACTTTACACGCAATTACAAAGCTTGTCCTATATGAATGACTACATTGCATTTCTTACCAAAAGATGATATTCTTTTTAGTGTTTGTGAGCGGAGAAAGTTTGTAATTAGAGATGCAATGACATTTACCGGTAATCTTCCCAAAGCAAAGACCATTCAACCAAAGGAGCGAATCGCTCTACTGTTTCTTCTTCTTGATGTTTTGAAGTCCGCGAACCAACAGGAGCTTATCGCCACCTAATGTACTGTATGTACGGATCAATCTACACTACACTTATTTATGAGCTGGTGAGAAGAATTTGTTGAGAATTTTTCTTTATTTTTCTTATTTTATTAATTTTATTTAATTTTGGCCACCGTGGTTCTTTTTACACCAAATACTTCATTCATTCATTATCCATTTCAGTCATATGCAACTCTTGGTGATTCTATGGGCCATCTCTTGTGGTGAGAGACTGACTGTCCATGCATTTTCTTGGCCATGATTTTTTTCCCAGGGTAGGTCGCCAGTTCTTTCCCCAACCCTCCCCATTACATGGCTTGGGACTCGCACGCATTCACATCTACGGACAATTTAGCATCTCTAATTCACCTATAGGTCCTATACTGAATGTTTTTGGATTATGGGTGAAACAGAAGCACCCAGAGGAAACCCACACAGACACAGGGAGAAAATGCAAACTCTACACAGAAAGCCCTACGACTTAGCTGGGACTCGAACTTGTGAGGCAACAGTGCAACAGTTAATTCACATTGGAACATTCTGTGGTGGTGTTTGGTTGTTGTGTGCATGTTAGACATGCTGCTGCTGTTGCTGCACATATAACATACCGGTACATGAAATAACCCCAGCAGATCTTTACAGGTGGAGCTGGGGAAGGTGGAGGTTTTCTGAAAGCATGCTGCAGACTACTAACACCAAACACTGCCAGAATTTGAATGTTGAGCCACAGCTCATTGGCCTCTTATGCAACAGCAACCAATCAGCTGCTCTGTGTAGATAAAGATGTGATCACTACCAAATGAGTTAAGGACCTATACTATACATCAGCCTGTGCCATCTAGTTTCATGACAGAACTATTAAAGATAACTGGCATGTGATAGAGTTTTCACTGAGCAGGTTACATGTTCCGAACCATAACGTCTTAACCATAACCATTCCACCCAATTATTAAATAAAATGTAACTCCATTTAACATTAATTTTGCCTATGTGTGATAATGCATTGATTGTTGTTGATTTTTGATTTTTATCAAATTTTGGTATCAGGTCCACATAGCACATTCCAATAGTTTGCATCATCGGCCTACTGTATATGCTGGAAAGTCCCCTTTTGCCTCCATTAGGTCATCTCTCTCTCTCTCTCTCTCTCTCTCTCTCTCTCTCTCTCTCTCTCTCTCTCTCTCTCTCTCTCTCTCTCTCTCTCTCTCTCTCTCTCTCTCTCTCTCTCTCTCTCTCTCTCTCTCTCTCTCTCTCTCTCTCTGCTCTCTGTGTGTGTGTGTGTGTGTGTGTGTGCGAGAGAGAGAGAGAGAGAGAGAGAGAGAGAGAGAGAGAGAGAGAGAGAGAGAGAGAGAGAGAGAGAGAGAGAGCACAAAATAGTTTTTGTTCTAGAATTTTTATGCTGGGACTAAAGAAAACAAAAGATAAGGCACAGAAAAAGATGATAGCATATGCCAGTTTGATAGGAGACAGGATTCAGGGCTGGACAACTGAGAATGTTACAACTAGGAAAGGCCCGCTACATCTTAATACTGCATTTAATTTGTCCTGGGCCCTGTGAATTCAAGCGATGGTGACAAAATGCCACTGTCATGACATTATATGTCAAAAAACTCACTTTGACCTCTCAGAGCTATCATTTTCAGTAGATGTTCTAGATTACCCCCGGGTGAGGACTCAAACCTGCGGGTCATAATAGCCACAGCAGTGCTCAACAAACACATTTAGCCTACCTTTGGATATTAAATAGAATCTTTATCTTGTCACATGCTGTGAGCTTTCATAAAGACAAATGCATATAATAAACTAACTGCCCTCTGTTGTATAGCTTACGTATAAACTGTCTCAGCGGCAACTGTTTTAAATATCAGTTATAACCGTCATGAGTTCCACAGTGATATCTGGATATAATCCACTCTCGTACAGAAATATGTTGAATCTGATTTTCTGCCGCGGTTGTAACGGCCAGTAAAATGTCAGCGCTAAATCCAAGTAAAGCACAAAAGGCTCCAATACTGGCTCAGGCAGTAATCTCAGTATTCTTTCAACACACTATCACAAAATCACGAGTCAATCACTGAAAGAAAATGAACTGATTAGAACTGGTAAAAAATAATGTAGTAGGCTAAGAGCCAAAACGGGTAAAAAGTTCCACACATTTTATTAGATCAAGATTAGTTTTAGAAAAGAGCATGCAATCTGACATTATAGGCTACCATTGCATGGTACCTGTGTTTTCTCATGTTGGACAGACACTGTGACATGGGCTTAGATGCAGATTTCTTATACAGAATCAGGTGTCCTGTGAGTTTTCGCCTGAAAGTAAATCCATATGCAATCAACAGCCAGATCCAGGTTTGATGTATCAGGTCCAATACCACAAGTAGCTAAGTAATACATTGTCACCTAGCAACATAATTTAAAAAGTATTCAGAGAATATCTGGAAAGTCTAAGTCATACTCTAATAAACTCTTACTTTGTCAAAAAGATACATTTTGTGATGACTAAAGTCGGTTTAAGCATACAATGTCAAAAATAATGTTTAGTCATAATAAATGTTTGCAGAGAAAATATAGTTTAATAGTATAAAAAGAAGACAAAGTGTTGCCAGTTTTTACTTGCTCGATGTGATGTACATAGGCCAGTGAAAAATCTGCAAATAATGTGAATATAAATAACACACTTGTTCAAAGTTATTTAATTTACTAACAAGTAACCCAAAGCCAAACACACTTTAATGTAATCCATTAATTATTATTATATACATTTGCATTTCAATGGATATGAGAAGAATTTGTGGAAATGCTATAAAATGATTTTATCGTCTATGCTTTAAACCCTGTAAGCAGCATTTCTTAATTGTAATTTATAAAACTTGGTTAGCACCATTAGCACCTAGGGTTTACAAATGTAAATAAGTTTGAAATTAGTTAGAGTGTGTTTTAAACAGGAAGAAATAAGCATAACTATATCTGGTTAAGATTGTCAGATCACCCCATTCTTAAATGTATGCTTATGGCCTTGGTCTAAAGAGCATTGCTCATATACATATGCAGTGAGTATGCCAATAATTCCAAGCTTGTGACCTGATATTCTCACATCTCAATCTAATCAATAAAAGGTTATATTTTACTGGAAACACATGTAACGTCTAACCACACACACACACACACGCACACTCAAACACATTTTCACAGAGCTGTTTGAGGACAATAGGGAATATTTAGTGCACCTGTGAAAACACCATATCAAAATATTGGTAGAGAGATCTGTTGTTTAAATATGAAAAAAGAGAGATTATAATGTTAAGTATTTCCTGAATATATCTTGATGCATAACAATGAGAATATCATTCATTCATTATGAAATATATCTACATAGCTGTTTTTCTTATTTTCCCTCTCATTTTAACTAAAATATTTCATCAAAAGCTTCATAAGCCTTTTTTTTCACTGGAGTTCAGATGTGATTGCAAGAAATCCGATGTGGTTTTGATAATTAATTCTTAAACAGTAAGAAGCAAAAACCTTGCTTTTAACATTAGAGAGACACACACAGAGAAATGTCAGAAATGATTTAAGAGTATCCTATTGCAAACGTGATGTTTATTTAAAGACAAGCTTTAAATATTGACCCTTAGTTTTTAGGTAAAAGCTAAAACAATCACATATTGATTTGTATCGGAAACTAACTAACTATGAACTATAAGCATGGAATGGAAGGCCTTTCATATTTAATTTGAGGGTTAATTTATTGATTTCAGGATAGAAGTGTGAATTTAATGACATAAGAATGAAGTAAACACTAACACATTAAAACAGATGTATATTATTCAATTGAAGTGTTTCATTGACATTGTCTCAAAAGTCAGAGAATGTTAAAACATCGAATTAGTCATTAATGAATGCAATGGTTGCAATACAATCCGAGGGGTGAAACATCACAATAGCTGGAGGTTCAGTCCAAGATGATTTGACAACCTCAATTTCATTCTATATATATATATATATATATATATATATATATATATATCATGATTAGAAACAAGGACATATCAAATAACTTACCAAGGCATACATTAGAGATTTATGTCTCAAACATTTTTTCAAACATTTTTTTATAGGAAGTCAATTTCCTCTTTTTTTTTTTATAAATTAAACAGAAAAAAAGTTAAAAAAGGACACTATCACTCAAAAAAATGATATGTTGGCTTTACTTAACTTTTTTATGTAAACAGGTTCCACCGGTTCCACATAACTATGTTTCGTTAAACAAACATAATATGTTCATGTAACTTCAACATCATGGAATTTGGTCATTTTAAGCGACCCAATTAAACTCTGAGCTAATGAGTTAATTAAGTGAATAACTGAGTGATGATTGAGCATTATTGAAGACACCTGATGTTAACAAGCAGAATCTCTGAAGGAGAAAACCGGAATGTTTAAGTCACCATTATGGAGATAAGTATTTGTTTTAGTTGGGCTCTTGACCATTGACTCATTAAATTTAGATTTTGTTTGTTTGCTGTACATGAGTTATAACAGCCAGATGAAGAATGAACTAAGGAGATCTGATGGTGTTGATTGTGATTTAATATAATCATTATTTCACAATCATTTCACCTCAATCACTGAACTTATATTGAACCCAATTTCTGAGTTAAGTTTACCTTACTGTCATTGTAGAGCATACTATTTTTAGGCTTTTCAATGAAATTCAAATGATCAAATCAAGAAATAAAAAATAAACTTCTTAAAAAACATGTTGAGTAGGCACACACAGACATCAAGAATCAGCATATGAATCTCAACAATGGTGACAAACAGATCACAAGATCATTATTTATTCATGCAGCAATGCATGATGGGAGCCATGAATGAGTTTTGATTGGTGGCACCCAGAATGCACTGCAACATGCTTTATAATTGTCACCATTGTTGAGATTCATAGGCTGATTCTTGATGTCTGTGTGTGCCTACTCAAAA